ACATTCTTGCTGAATGGAGCAGCGGACTGTCTGTTATTCTCAGAGTCTCTATCCTGCACGTTAATGATGCCCACCTCTGTACCAGGTGACACGTTCTCAGGTATGGGGTTAGAACAGTGATTTCAAGATATATCACTGGAGCATTATCTTTTACATCAAGTAATATCTATTGTATAACTTTAGCGTAGATGTTAGCCCTAAACCATCTTTAGCTTGCACTCTCATTTCAAAAAGAATCTCCTTTCTTCAAAGTCAATCACACCATTTACTCTTAATTTCTCCAGTTTTAGGATCATAGAAAAAACATTTACATCATCGTCAGATACATGACCGAAGTCATATGTACGTCTCCATTTACTCCTTCATCTGCGTCAGTTAGCACTGACTTTAATCCTTATTCTATGGTATCAGGAGCAGAGTTTTCAGGCAGACTGGCTTTATAAACGGCCTGGCTAAACACTGGGGCGTTATCATTAGCATCCAGCACAGTGACGTGTATGACTACGGTACCTGATCTCTGAGGAGACCCACCATCCAAAGCTGTGAGAAGCAAACTCAGCTCTTTTTGTTTCTCTCGGTCAAGTTTATTTTCCAGTACGAGTTCAACCTTGTTACTATCAACAGCGAGAATAAAGTTGTCGTTCTTTTGTAGGTTGTACCTCTGAACAGCATTTTGACCTATATCTGCGTCATGGGCCTCCTCGATGGAGAAGCGGTTACCCTTGTCTGCTGACTCCCTTATATCCATTTCAATCAAATGTTTTTTGAATTTGGGCGAGTTGTCATTTACATCTTGAATATGAAGACTCACACGATGAAGCTCCAAAGGATTTTCTAACACCAGATCTACTTTTAACACGCACGATGCTTTCTTGCCACAAAGGCTTTCTCTGTCAATTCTCTCCATTGCTGTTAAATCCCCGGTACTCAGATTAATGTCACAGTACCGCTTACTAGATCCCTCAAAATCAACACGGGCCCTTCGGGAAGATAAGGTCTTCATATCAAGACCGAGATCCTTCGCTATATTTCCAATAACAGACCCTCGTTTCATCTCTTCCGTAATAGAATAACTCAGGTCTCCATAAACGAGGTGCAGCGTTACAAGAAAGGAAGCGAAGCAGAAGATCGGACGAAGCGCTGGAAATCCTTTGTTACCCATCCTCTGAACATATGCGTCCTCGGTTTGAACAAATGATTGTCCAGAAAAATAAATAATATATTCCAGAACAGACTCAATAATTCAATATTTTACAACAGCGAGCACGATAAAAAATAGTCGGGGAAACAAGGGATTCTTTTGAGAAATCATACCTGACTTTGATGCAGTAACAGTGGGTGGAGATGTCTGTGATACTGTTGTGCTAGCCCACAGCGGCACCATGAGTCGATTTTCACCATTTACACCTGCAAGCAATATTCTGGACAAAGTCTAAACCCGCCTTATCCTCAGCCACTTTCAGGAGAACTGTGTGTCACATGTAAAACATACAGTAAATTCTACAATTTAATGGATTATGTTCAAATATAAATAAGTAGGTCATTCATCTGACAATTCTTATATTTTATTGGCGTTATATCAAATATATATTTACTTTCAAACAAAAACAATCATTTAAAAGTTTGAAACTAATAAATGAGACAGATTTTCACTGATAAAGCATAGTAATGCACATTCAAGCATCATGGATAGGCTACAGCCTCAGCCTATTCAATAAAGACCTGAACCATCATCATAATTAGTAATATCTGTTCACAAGATAGATAGATAGATAGATAGATAGATAGATAGATAGATAGATAGATAGATAGATACTTTATTTATCCCCTTGGAGAAATTCATGTGTCCATTATCTCATTGTTATTAATAATAATAATAATAATAATAATAATAACAGTTAACAATAACTGAACAATAATAATTAAATTAGTCCACTTCCTTTGGCTGAGTTGCTGTATAGCCTGATGGCTGTGGGAACAAAGGATCTCCTCTACCTCTCTGTTCTGCAGCGCAGTGAGATGAGACATTTGCTTCTGTAGCTGCTTCTCTTTCCTGCCAATGTTGTGGAGAGGATGGTTGGTTTTGTCCTAGATGGCCTCCATCTTACATTGCATGCATCTCTCCACAACAGTCCTGAGTAAGTTCAGACTCCTGCCAAGCACAGACCCAGCCTTTTTGACCCTGCCCCTTCCAGTAGATGGCATCCGTGTTCAGGGACCAGTCCAGTTTACTGCCCACGTACACACCTAGGTATATATAAGTGTGCACCACCTCAATGTCCTTCCCTCGAATGTTGACTGGCTGAAGGGTGAATATGCATGTTTTATGATATTGTTAGAGGTATCAACTCTTGAGTAAGCTATGGCTCAAATGAGATGACCAGCTATCCTCTCTATACACCCAAGAAATATGAACATTACTGTCCTCA